TGCTCCTGTATGGGGCAGAAATATGGGCAGACGCATTGAATGTCAAAAAATCCCGGATTCAAATGTCTTCGGTCCAGCAGCTGCCGCGGTAAGGGCATGCGAGCAACTAATCCAGCAGTGGCAACAAAACTGGAACGCGAGCACAAAAGGTCGATGGACGCACACCCTGATAGCCAACCTTCAAACATGGTTGAAAAGACCGTACGTGAAGTCAATTTCTACCTGACGCAATTCCTCGCCGGTCATGGGTACTTCCGAGAGTATCTTCATAGAATGGACAGGCTAGACACCGTTCTGTCACTACTGTGGATATGTTGAAGATAACGTACACCATATATTCTTCACTTGCGGGCACTTCTTGTCATCGCGCAGAATGTCGAAAGAAATATACGGAGACATAATCCCGAACAACGTAATTGGGGTAATGATCTCCAGTGCAGATAAGTGGGAAGCAGTTGCGAGATACGTGAAATTTGTACTCCGCTGAAAACGAGCAGACGGATGTTTACTGAGGACCCCCGAATGAAACGTCCCTACAAAGAGCAGCCATGAGGCTCTAGTAGCGCGCTCCTGTATCTGAAGATATGCAGAATTGGGGTGCCAGGTGCGGGATTCTTGTGCGGGCGGTGGGAGTTTGGGTTTTAGTGGGTAGCCCAACACGCTTCGAGGGGAGTCCCATACTCGGGAAAGGTAGTATAAAGACTACCGCCCCCGGCCAGTGCACAAGGCTTGTCCCTCTCCTACAAAAAAAAGTCCGCTAAATCCCTAACTAACTTGATAAACTTGTTAAGAATGAGTTCAGTATGTTTCGTGAAAGTGCCCAAAAGTCCACTTCCCGTAACGTGGACCCACAGCTAGTTTCCTTAAATAATAATAATATTATTGGCGGGCGCTTACACAATATGTAAGGGTCACACAAAGTGGAGGGACCTACAGTTTTACGCCGACTCCAAACGGCGATTGTATTTTTATGAGATGATGTTTTTCATGGCAGAAATACACTCGGAGGTTTGCCATTTCTCACCGATGGCAAACGGCTATTGGCAAGCACTTTTTCTTTTGTTTTGTTTTTGATGTTAGTCAGAAACTGAGCCCTGCGGAATGGTATGCTCACTTCTTACCACTACACCACAGCGGCCGCTAGCACGGTTGCCATTTCCAACTTATTTTTCGGACCAAAAAATGGACCAAATGGTAAAAAATTTACCAATTTTTATTACATCGGGAAATTGAGTGGAGTTTATTCCTCTTTATCAAGAAAATATGCAATTCAGTTTTTACAGCGATTTTTTTTTTTTATATTGCATCCAAAGTGCATTTTAATTG